GGTTCATGCTGCACCTCCTGCCGGGAGGGAGAAGCGGCGCGATGAGGGCGCGCTCCGCGCTTTGTCCCGCCGGCCGCTCCAGCGCCGCGCTCGCCGGCGGCTCCCGCAGAGCGGGACGCGCCCCGGGCCGCGCTGCCCCTGCGGCACCTGGCGCCACGCGGAGCGCGCGGCTCAAGTTTCCTTAGAGGAAACTACGGATTTGGGCCTTTTTTTAAGTGATTCCCGGTGAATCTCCCCCTCAGCCGCCCCATCTCTCTCCGCCCCCTCGGGCGCCAGCAAAACCCAGGGGCCAGAGCGACGGCCGCGCTCCGGGAGCGGCTGCGGACACCGCTGGTGCCGCTGCGGCGCTGCCCCCGCCTCGCGCCGCTCGCTCGCTCACCCTGCCGGCTCCGCGGTCTCCCCTCAAGGGCTGGCGGCGGCCGTTAAAACCGTTGGGCTCTGTGGGGGACCTGGCAGCCCCTCTGTGCCGCCCGTGCGGCGCCCTACGCGCATCGGGCTAATTGAAGGCAACGGCCTCGCATCTCCTCCTCCTCCTCCTGCTCACTCCGCCCTCGTCCTGCCCCCTGCCTGCCAGGGGACGCGGAGCCGCCGGTGCCGGTGCCCGCCGCTCACTGCGACGGCGCTGCCGGAGCCGCCCCCCAGCCGCCCGCTCGCGCCCCGCGCCGGCCCAACGGTCGCTTGGAGAGGGGCGGGGGGAAGGAGGAGGCGGGAAGACGGCGGGCCAATCACCTGCCCGTGGCGGCGCCTGCCCCTCCCCGCGTCTTCCCTCCCTCGCTCGCCATTGGCTTTCGGGCGCACAGCCACCTCGCCAATTGGCTGTGCCGAACGCCCCTCAAGCCCTGCGGCCCGCCTCCTTGTTTACCACCCTTGCCCGACTCGAGCAGGGGGAGAGGCCTGTCCTCCCGCCCCTTTCTCCCAGCCTGGTCTCCCATTGGCTGCTCGGCACCCTCGCCCCGCTGTGATTGGCCGAAAGGTCCCAGCTGCTTTGAATAAGGCGTGAGGGCGGCTGCCATGTCGCCTGCTAACCTCCGAGTGCGCTGAACCTCATGGCCCCCGTGGTGCTGGAGGGGGTCCCAGGACCCCGGACGCCAGCAGGGAGTCGGTCACCTCCACAGTCAACTCGCTCACCCCAAATCGACTGTTACTGTCAAGCCCTTGGTGCCAAAGCCCTCACCAACATCTAAGTCCTCATCACATGTCAACTTAAGCTCCAAAGTACCAAATCTCATATTCTACTTGTCCCAGAGTGGAAGATCACAACATGATTCTGTCCAGAAATGTAAAACAATGACAAGAGCCGGGGAAAAAAAAAGTCATTTTTGTATTAAAAGTGCTGTAAGTAATAAAAAGCAGACAGGCAGAAGAGCTGCAGCAGCAGGACTAAGGAGCACTGCCTTATTCTTCCTTGCACCTGCAGATTTTCACCTCACAAAAATACAAAAATATAAGCTCCATGTTTTGCCATCTCTGGTGGCTGCCCTGCAGAACTTGCACGCAGCCACCCCATGAGGCAAAATTGCACCCTTATTATTTGCTTTTCTGAAGGGAATCATTTGAACCATTCCCTGTGGTTTGCAGGCAGGACCCCTCCCCAAAAAAGCAGATAGCCCCAGTGTTGTGGTGGTCCCTTGATCTGCCTACAGACACCCCGTGACAGAAAAGGTTACATAGCACTACTTTCTAAGAGGATTTGGGGGCATCAGAGGGGATAATAAAACTGACATCTGTGAGCACACCAAAGGGATGCGCCCGGTTTTTCATTTTATGCAGCAGTGATAGAGAAGTTGAAGGCTTATCTTTTAATACGGTTAAATTAAGAAATCCTTTCTTTGCTTTGCGTTTTAGCACAATGTTGTCTTCAAGGTAAATGCTAGAAATTCAAGGTTTTCTAAATTAGGTTATATTAAGATATCATTTGTCTTCTTAAAGGAGACAAAGCATTGTCTTCAAGGCAAATGTTAAATTACATTTTTTTAAACAATTTAGTCCATGTATTAATGAGGGAGAGAGACCCGGCTCTACTGTATGACTGCCGTTCCAGGCAAGAGACTTATAAACTGAGAAACTGGCATTGAAGGAGTTAGGAGGCAGAATGTAATTACTGGAAAGATGGGGATCCTGATGCATCACGATTCCTGTTTTTAGCAGAACTAGAAGAAATAATTTTAAAGAAAATTACTTTTTTATGGCCACAAGAAAAAAATAGAATTTAATATCTACCTTTCTGTGAGGAGAAAAACTACAGAGTGATAGATAACACTCAAGGCAAAAGAGTTTGGCAAGATAATTACACTCAGGTCTCTAGCCTATCTGTTAAACAGACTACATTTTTTTCCTCTCCCTTTCCCTCTAGGAAATGCTCCCACTCTGGCTGCAGGAGCATCCGAATGCCTCTCTGGGGCTGGAAAAGCACTCCAGTTCTTCGCCAAAAAGCCCTCTCTGGGTCTCAGCACCACTCAAACCCATGATTTTTAGGCAGCGTGGCAAAGGAAGGCTGCAGCAGGCAGATGGGAGAAAGGCTGAATCACCGGCAGGCGCTTTCAGAGCTAACGTGGTTAGTATTGCAGAAAAACAGCCTGGTTTCACTGGAGTAGAAAGCGATAGCACATTTACATGCATCTTTAAAGCAGGCCAGCCACAGCTTGTAAACCAGACACTTAAACTTTGTTGATAGCTACTACAAAATACAGATAGTAACAACAAAATCCAGTGAAGACGCTGGTTTTAGAAAGCAGAAATCCTTTATCTCCAAGAGAACAAGCACGGCGCTTGACAGAACAAGGTGCCATTTTCCAGCGCGGAGCTGAGAGATTTCTGACACTTCACTCCGGTGTGGTGCCTAATTTGCTGTGCGGCTTTCCAAAGCCGGATCTTAGGCGATGAGGAGTCCCCCGCCGGGAACTCCTGCTGCGTCCGATGGCTGCCGGCTCTTCCTACCGTGGGCTCCTACTCACATGCATCCCAGCGGGAATGTTGCTGAGAGGACAGGGCTTCTGAGGCGTCGTCCCTCTTCATTCTTGCTGTTAAAAGGCTTTGATATGTGTAAGCTCACAGGTCGGCTGCAGCTACCCTCACTTTATCTGCATGCAATCAGATAAGGGGAAATCCATACCTTGAAACTGGCTGATACCTTAGGCAAGCAAGCCCTAAACTTTCTCAAAGCGGAGCTCATCCACATGGCGAGGAGGAGTAAAACCATCCCTGATGGCCTGTAATGACTCAGGACGGAAGAGATCTGGCTGATATCGATTCTTTTAAGGCTTTAGAAATACAAGCAGAGGACATAAGGCTCCTGAGAAGCCTAGATAATTAGGAACATTGCTAGCTGCTGTGTGGAAGTGAATTGCAGCCACACAGAGGATGTAGTAACTTGCTTTTAACCTGGAGAGAACATGATATTGGCTTGCATTACTTGAAGAACAGAGCCTAAAAGCATGATTGCTCGTTCGATTAGACCATGTACTTACTGGCAGAACTAAGATTGTTTTGGTAAGAGGTACCCTGGTACCCTTAAGGGTACCTAAAAGAGGTAGCCTTTATCCTAGTAAGACAGGTTGAAGGCTAAACTGTATTAATAGCACAACCAAGAAGATGTTGCTGGACTTAGATATAGCTGGATGAGTTCAGCAAATAGAGCAAGATCCCTCCAATCATAGCCTGCAGTTTTGATCTATATATAGGATAAGAAAATTATTGTATAAAGTAGATAACTGAAGGTGTAAAACCACTTTTAAGGTAAATTTCTTTAGAGCAGCCTTCCTCCTCCTTGAAATGATCCCGCCAGCAACTGTTGCCACCTTGTGCTGCCAGCAGTGGAATTTGCCCTGCTTTGTGCTCAGTCTCATTTCAAATGATTTATGCTGTGCAGACGTAAGGTTTTCATATGATAATTTTCATGTGATAAACCTGCAAAGCAGAAGACTATTGACTCCTTCTTTTCTTTACCAGTCAAGAGCAAAGAGCTGATGCAGAATGCAGATCCTGTCCATGCAACTATTGAAACATCAGTAGCAGCTAGAGCTGAATTTGTAGAACAGAAATAGCATATCTTGCCTTCAAACCTTTGAATTAAGGACCATCATTATGCACTGACCGGCAGGTTTGACTGCTTTTCTTTTAATTCCACACTTCCTATACACAAGATATTAATTATCTGAATTTAAAACTTACATCCACAGATATTCGAAAGTCCTGCTGAGAATTCAGATGGCAGTTCTCTGTTAGCAGGAAAGACATTTGCACAACATAAAAGACCACCACTACCTCACACAGACTTAACAATTTCCTAAGAAAAAGGAGGAGGAAAATGCCATTCATATGGGAAATAAAAATCAGTTTTACATTTCTTAAACTAGAACTGTATAGAAACAAGACAAAGAGCTTTCACAAGAAGAGGAGTCTTGCTTAATTGTGGTAGAGGTCTGTGTCTCAAAAGTCTTAACTCTCCTCTGCCAGGGAAAATGCAAAACAAGACAAAAAACTGCAAAAGCAGAGACAGCAGAAGGTACATGCAGCAAATGGATGGAAACAGAACTAGTTTATTACTTTCCTGTAACACTGACTAACTCAGCAGACTGCAAGACCTTTTATTTTTCACTAAAACCAGCATCATGAGAATGAGCTGTATTCCATTTTCCCCTACTTAAGTGAGATAAGGGCTACGAGAATGCAATGAATTCACTGTTGTGAATGTGGAGCAGCATCCTATTTTAGAAGCCTTCAGAAATAAGATCCCAAGTGGAAAGTGTCTAAGAATAATT